TATCAGAGGGATTGTGGGGTATCGGAGGGTCTGTGGCGTATAAGAGGTTATGTGGGTTATCAGAGAGTTTGTTGGGTACCAAAGGCCTTGTGGTGTGTCAGAGGGTATCAGAGGGCTTATGGTGCATCAGAGGGTCTGTGGGGCATCTGAGGGCTTGTAGGGTATCAGAGGATCTGTGCGGTATCAGAGGGTATGAGAAGGTTTGTGGGGTATCGGAACATTTGTGGGGTATCAGAGGATCTGTGGCATATCAGAGGATTTGTGGGGTATCAGAGGGTATCAGAGGGATTGTGGGGTATCGGAGGGTCTGTGGCGTATAAGAGGGTATGTGGGGTATCACAGGGTTTGTGGGGTATCAGAGGGTCTGTGGCGTATCAGAGGGTTTGTGGGGTATCAGAAGGTTTGTGGGGTATCAGAGGGTTGGTGCAATATCAGAAGGTTTGTGGGGTTTCAGAGGGTGACCGAGGGTCTGTGGCATATCAGAGGGTTTGTGGGGTATCAGAGGGTATGTGGGGTATCAGAAAGTCTATGGGGTATCAGAAGGTTTGTGGGGTATCAGAAGGTAACCGAGGGTCTGTGGCATATCAGAGGGTTTGTGGGGTATCAGACGGATTGTGGGGTATCAGAGGGCTTGTGGGGTATCAGAGAGTTTGTGGGGTACCAGAGGGTCTGTGGGATATCAGAGGCCTTTTGGGGTGTCAGAGGGTATCAGAGGGTTTATGGTGTATCAAAGGGTCTGTGGGGCATCAGAGGGCTTGTCGGGTGTCAGAGGATCTGTACGGTATCAGAGGGTATGAGAGGGTTTGTGGGGTATCGGAGAGTTTGTGGGGTACCAGAGGGTCTGTTGGGTATCAGAGGATCTGTGGGGCATCAGAGGGTATCAGAGGGTTTTTGTGGGGTATCAGAGGGTTTGTGGGGTATCAGAGGGTCGGGCAGATCCTGCTTCTCAGCTTGTTGTGGGAGCAGCTTCCTCCTGAAGGCAGCTGGAGGGTCATCGAGGGGCGATTAAGCCTCCTGATGCTGCACTTCTGCAGCTCCATTAAACAGGAAGGAGCACGTTTCTGCTGCCTTAGGAGAGGAAGAGCGCATCCTTCTCCTCATTCTCCTCTTCCCCCTCCTCCTCTTCGTCCTCCTCGCTCCTTTAGCTTCCTCTTCTTCCCTTATTTTGTTTTTTACCATGTCTGTTTGTTTTTGTTCTTTTTTTTCTCTTCATTAGTCTTTTTTATCATTGTGTTGTTTCCATGTGTTGTTTTCCATTGTTTGGTTTGTTTTCTCTTTCTGGTTTAGTTCTTTCTTCTTTCCTCAGTGGCATCACTGACCTCTGACCCCTCATCAGATCACAGATGTCATGGTTACGAGCCCAGATGGCCTCTCCAGCCGGGCCTGGTTCTGATCCAGACCTGGTTCTGATCTGAGCCGGTCCTGATCCAAACCGGGCCCGGTTCTGATCTGATCTGCTCCAAGTCGGGTTCTGATCCGAGCTGGGCCTGGTTCTGATCCAAGCCGGGTTCTATCCCGAACCGGGCCTGGTTCTGATCCAAACCGGGCCCGGTTCTTATCCGCTCAGATTAAAGCCGCTCGTCTCCGCAGCTCCGAAAACATGAACATGTAATTAATAATTAGTGGTGTAATTCCTCCTCAGGAGTTATTATCCCTCCAACCGGTTGGCGAATTTAATTATTAGGAGCCTTTCTGTTTCCACGTCCCCTCATTACTGTCAGGATTGATGTAACACAAACTTCATTAGAAATGAAAGTGGGCTCCTTTAATTACGAGGCCGCCCTCTCAGAAGCCCGAATTAGCCAACTCAGTGATGTGCAAATGAGAGCATTATTTCAGAAACATGCTGGAAGTGCTGGTGCTAATTGGGCGGGGCTCACAGTGGCAGCCTCTCCACTCCGGGCTGCACATTCATTAAAGGCAGCCGGCAAATGGGATGCAGCCGCCCCGTAATGCCCTGTTAATTTATTCAGATTTATTGAGGAAGACTTGTAAAAAGTAGCAATTTAATTAGCGGGTCTCCTGGGCCGGCGGGCGGTGATGGCTGAGTTCTCTGAGCCGGCCAGTCA